TTGTTGTAACTCAGTTACAATGACTCTGAAGAAAACGCTGACTGATGATACTGTTTGTAAAGCACTCTCATGAAAATGTTCACAGTTGTCTGTAATTTTCTTTATTTTATAAAGAATCAAGAATCAATCACAATAATTTCCAGTTCTTTTCTAGAGTAGTCACCAAATGTATTCTTTATTTTTTTTATTTTTTGGAAAATTTGTCTTTGTGATAAGTCACATCAAAAGTTGATGTGGATATGATACAGATGTCCTACTTTCCTACCTGAGGAGGCCAAGTCCTGCCCATAAAGTATTTACAATTGATGTTGAATTTAGAAAACTCTCATAAACTTAATTGATTCAGGCATTAGATGAGGACAGGGCACAACCATAATTTAGAAATACCAATCAAAACAAAAATACTTGTTTAAGGCAGTTGGATGAACATGGAATGATAAAATCCCACGCATACCTTGTGACTGAATTTAGTAGAGCATAAAAAAAACCTTTTACTTCCAGAAAGAGGGAGCATTTACTGACCACTTCATGAGTAATACTGATATATTACAAGTGAAATGGTCAACACACAGGACCTGTTGATATTGTGGCTATGCAATGGCATCTAAAGTTATCCTTGAACAAACAGCTGTATTGGACTTTGTAGTCATTTTGGATGTTTAAATTCATTTTAAAGTAAAATTCAGGTATAATAGTTGGCAAAACCAAATAATCAACATGTACCTAAACATGGTAGAAAACATCTATGCCACTTATAATATCCCTGTGTTTTAGTGCATGCTTTTTATTTAGGTATTTTGTCTCCTTTGGGGTTATGCACTGAATAAAGAGACAGTACTTTAAAGAGAAAAAGTCAATAACTGTGACACTGTGCTTTGAACTCCATTGCAGAACCGGATGGCAAATATGTAACATTGAGTAAGTCAGTGAAGGTGATATAACCTTATATAATGTTACAAAAGAGTGGGTCCAGACGGGAAGAGTTCATTCACACAACACCGGCTCTGTGTTTGTCTGCATTTTGCCCTCAGTCGCTGGCAGAGATTTCACAGCACACATTTTATGACTGAGTGAACTGGTGACTACAATGGCGTGGAAAAAGTGCTGCTTTAGCTGAATAGTAAATTGTGGGAGAGGATTGCAGCATTTCTTTATTTTAATTCAAAGTTCTATCAACCAACCACATTCATACCTAATACAACATAAAGAAGCAGTAAATTTACTTTTTGACTTTAAGTGTTAAAAGAAGAAAAAAAAAAAGACAAATTTAAGAATTTGAACAAGTTCATAATAGCAAGAAAAGCAGGACAAATATCCACAAACGCACGCATACACATTTATATCTCTTGCCCTGGTCTCATCTCAATTCAGCATTCCACTGATGCAAAATTGTGACAGACTTTTTCAATCCAGGGAAGCCCCACCCTGCAACTCATAGGACTTAAAGATCTGCACTAACGTCTTGCTGTCTGATACCACACCACACCATGGCTTTAGAGCAGTCCATGCCTCAACAGATCAGGATGTTGTGGCAACAAGAACGGGACCAAGGAACTGCATGGCTAATAGGCGTATGAGAGTGAGAATCAAATCCTAGTAATTTTTGAAGTGTTGTTGGAGTAGATCAGAAGGTGCTATCATGATTTGAAGATGTCTGATTTAGGAACCTGAGGTCTCATCTTTGTCTTTTTCATTTTACTTGGTGCCAAACCATGACCTTCACCTGAACTGGAGCAGCTGGAATTAGTGGTAGTTACTCTAAGTCTTGGACATGGAGGAATTGAAAGATGTTAGTGTCTTGTAATTGAGTGACGGGACTTGGATAGATGAATCAGGGGTCCAAATGCTGTTACAAAGACTGTTCATTCAACAGCTCTGGAGGTAGGAAAAACATTCATTTCCACTAAACAACAACTAGGACTTTTTAGAGCAAGTTTCTTCTTCTTTTCACATAGTATAATTTATTACATACATAATTATGTTTATTATTATTTCATTTATTTCATTTACCTTCTGCGTTCTCCTTTTACCATCTGCTTAAAGCAAAGAACAGTCTGCCTCCTCTCCAAGACTCCAAATTGAGATCTTGGCCAAAAATACACAAATAGGATCAAAGACACCAATCAGTCATGTTTGAGTCCGGCCTTCAGTTTTGACCTAGGTCTTACATACTTGCTTAGGTCGATTCAGTCGTTCATTCATGGTTTTATTATTTCTGAAGCTTTGCAAAATCAAATCCCATTGTGTCATCTTTGAAACTGGAACTTGTTAAATGGGCTTTATTTAGTTTTAGACTTTTAACTTCTATAATTCATCATTCATCTCACTAAACAAAGGTGCTCCTGTAGTTGGTTCAAAGCACACCTGTTAATTTGCTGACAGCATGATTTAAGTTCTTAATATTTATTTATTTATTTATTTATTGACTTGCAGGTATTATGACTTGCAGGTCTGTTTGTTACTGTGATCAGGGCCTGATGGATAAAACATGTACAAGGCTTAAAACCAAGTTGATAAGGCATTTTAAATTATATTCCCAGGGCTGTGAAAGTTACTTCCTCCAAGTTTAAGATATTAGTGCAGAAGAAACAAGTTTGACTTCATGCTCGAAATGCAAACACAGCACCTGATTTGGTGTAGCTGAAAACTGAAACTTGAAAATGTGAAAGTAGCTGCCTGTGTTTCTGCTCCTGTCATAACTTTTTATGCTAACTTTTAAACAATTATAAGACTTTTCAGGTGTTTTAATAGCTATGACTGTCAGTTGCAACATCCTAATCACACATAATGCTAAAAAAATGTGAAAACTTCAGTCCAGTCAGAAAATTCACATGATAATGTCTGGGTGTTTATCTTTACTTGGAGCTTGGATCTCATTCTTCCTTGAGTGTGCCAGGATGACCTTGTCTTGAATCTTGCAGCTTCCTAAACCACTCAATAGGAAATATGTCTTCTATATTTTTGTTAATCTTAGTTGGACTTTGGCCCAAGACTATTCATCACTTCATAGAGAACTAGGATTTTAAAAGCTATTCTTTTCAGAGGACGTCAGTGCAGTGATTTAAGTACTGCTGGAATATTTTTTACTTTTTTGGTGTTGATCCAAACTCTGACTCTGATAAGCAAAGTGGAGATACAACCAAACACAGTTGGACTTTAGAGTGTGGGCATATGCCTTTTATAGACTTTAAACAGTGGTGCAAACTTTGCAGATTTTGAACTGCCAGATAGTGTGGGAGTCGCTCACTTATTTTACATGTTGAGCGTGTAGGAATAGAAATAACTGTTACAGTGGTCAGACTACAGAGTTAGAACAAGAAAGATATACTAGACTTGTCACTGTGTCTGTGACATGGTAATCACAATGTAAAACAAAATCAACTCAAAGCAGAGAAACTCTGTCAGACTCTTTGCCAAAGTGCAGAGAGTATGATAGGCATATCGACCAGTCTGGCAGTGCAGACAGACAGCAAACACCCAAATAAACAGAGATATCGTTGAACCACAAAGCGAGCAGAAAATCACCCGGACAGATCTGATTATGTGTTTGATGAGAATCAAATTTATTTGATTTAATGTCTGATCAAGGTGTCCTTCACATGGTATTGTCCACAGTGGCCTGCTTCAACTGGTACCTGGACTGTACAAAAAAAAATAAAAAGGTAAATAGTTATTTTAGCTTGTGCTCTCAGAGAAAATAATGTTTCACATAAAAGTGTTGTGGTCTTCAGAATGGGAATCCAAAAAGCATTAACTCTTACAAATTTGTTGCTATCTAGAAAAAATACTAGTTAATAATCATGTATTTACCCTTTATATGGAAACTCCAGCCTTGCAACATTTAGTAAAGCCATGTGCAAATACAAGTTCACTTAAATTTTTCTGACATAAATTGTTTGGTATATTATCACTTTTTTCTCTCCTTACACTGGATAAAGACCCTTGTGGAACAGAAAATATAAGTAAGAACCTGGATAGTTTTTGACCATGTAAAACTTGTTTGGAATATACTGAGAGTAGCCTGAGAACTTTTAGATCTAGCTAAATGCGTTTCCCCTTATATTTTAGCAAGATGAGAGTAATATAATGTTGTTAAACCTGATCTTAGTCAGTTTTCTCAGAGAGCCTCAGTCACCATATCACAGACAACATTTAGTTAGGCTAAAGTACGTAAAAATAGTGTTCAGGTGGTTGTAAGGTGCCCTATACTGTAAGAAAATAATCTCCCACACCACTACACTTCCATCACTGGCTTGTTATGCCCCTACCATTTTATGGGCAATACCACCAACAGAGTGTTATTGCCCAGGTATCAGCAGGTGTACTCAACCCCTCTATGCAACCTTAGGGAGTAGAAAAAAGATGAACACACCAGATAATAGCAGTATTAGCATTTTTAACAATATATTTTTTGTTTGTTTGCTTCTTTTTGCCCGTTTCTGAAAAACAAAAAACAAAATGAAGACAAACAACAGAAAAATTTGTATTCTCTTGACATAAAATTATTTAGTATCTAATTCTAATGCAGTAAAGAAAAAAATATACATGCAAACCATGACATGCTCATATGAGAGCAGAGAAATGCTTCCCTCTAGTGGCTAAAACGGAATTACATACTTTTTTTATTATCAACCATAAACTTTAATGAATGCCCCCATGGGCGTGTTATAATCTGACTTACTCCCCGAAGACCACTTTGCTGCATAGTCAACATTGACATACATGAAGAAATTAAGAAAAGAAAAAAAAAACTATAACAATCTCAATGACAAAGATTTTTCAGGGGGTCAGTCGATTCCTAACAGCGGCCTATAGGTTTTACACGGTCACTCTGTATCTCTATCACTCTGATGGCAGAAGTTGAAATGCAGCATATAGAGAATGCCTGAGAGCAGACATTACTCTTGTAATGATGTTACTTAGAAAATGCCACTCACAATATGGTGCGGGTTTGACATAAGATTTAGCGCGCATGCGCAAAAGGGTTTATAAACGCTCCACCTTCTTATACCGGAAACGATCCCAGGATGTCATGTGACGTTAGCTTCTGGTTTAGCATGTAGAAATCTGAGGTAAAATTATTAAAGGTAGGAAAAAGCTTTTAAATCGTTGTTTCAGTTTTTGTTGTAAAAATCTACATGCTGGTTAAGCAGCTGTTGGTGCCTGAACTTGACACACTAACGAAGTTAAACTTATCTGCCATGTTAGCTTGTTGTATTTAACATAAAAGCTGCACCAGAAGAAACGTATTACAGCGTTTCTTTGTTTATTAAAATATCTTGATGTTAAAACTTTTTTTTCTCCACAGAGTCGTAGAAAGGGAGATAAAAACACATAATGGCAGATGTGAGTATAGTTTATTTACTTCTAATAGCAGCTTCAACAGATATTTTACACTATGTTAACTCTTTAAATTATCATCAATATCCTTTAGTCTGATGTAATTAAGCTTGAAGATCTGATGCTTTTGGGTGAAGATGGAAAACTAAATGCTGAGGCACGAAAGAAATGACTTTATTCCGCTGTTTGCTTCTGTATGTAGTCTGTTATGTAGCCATAGCAGACCAGATATATCCAACTGTTTTAAGTCATGCTAGCAAAATTATTTGAAGAGTTCTCTATCGAAGTAGCTGAACATTCACATTTTTCGCAAACTCTGCTGCTGGGCATCAATAAAATATATTTTCAGAAACATGGCAATAACATGGATGAATTACTATTTATGTTTATATCAATTACTGCATTACGGGACACATGTTTGCTCTCTGTACTGTGAACTCTGTTTGTGGGCGAAATGTATTTTGTGGTAATTCTTTGTAAAATCTCTCATTCAATCATAATAAAAATCTGTGCATTGCAGTGGTATAGTTACTCAATTATTTGTGTAATTGAGTAAATTAGCAGATGTTTATTAAAGCAAGAAACTGAGACTTGATTGCTCAGATCTCAGTGCCAGTGGTGCTTTTATCTGAAACAAATGGAACCACTTTTGCTGGTTTACTCACTGTGATTAGATCCCACAAAATACCTATAAACCATTTTGTTTAATCCAGTTTCCAACATGTTTTTCTTCTACAGGATTTAAAGAGATACCTGTACAAACAGCTGCAAAGGTTGGTGGTATGTGAGAATCACAGTTATCAGTTTGTTGTTTCTTCAAAGTTGCTAAATCAAGTGTTTGTTCTCCTCAGTGTTGAAGGTCTTCACGCTGTTGTTGTCACAGACAGAGATGGCGTTCCAGTTATCAAAGGTAAGACCGGGACTCCTGTAATGGAAATGCTTTGATAACCCTTAAATGTATTCTCTTAGTTGCATACATTTTCTCACATTTAATCCAAAATGAATGATGGAGATTGTTTCTATTTCTATTTCTCTCATGTGGATGAATGCTGTATCCCTGCAGTTGCCAATGATAACGCCCCAGTCCATGCCCTGAGACCTGGCTTCTTATCCACCTTTGCTCTTGCTACGGACCAGGGCAGCAAGCTCGGCCTCTCTAAAAACAAGAGCATCATCTGCTACTACAACTCCTACCAGGTTAGAGGATGCATAATATTCTGGAGTTAGACTCGGCCTCCTCAAACACATTTAATTTATCTTTTTGTTCTTAATGTCTTGTCTACACAATGACAAAAAGAACGACGGAAGACTCAGACTTGTTTAGCAGCCACTGAGTCAGCCACAAACACTCGTGTGTGAGAGTGATCAATTGATTACATTTTGATTACAATTGATCACATCTCTCAGTTGTCAGAGAGATGTGAAACCATCTCTCTGACAACTGAAGCTTGACGTAATGTGGGTAACCCACAGGATGTTTTTTTCACAAATAGTATTGACCTTTAGCGTTTTTTTTGTCAGGATTCAACTTTGACTTCTTGGAAATACTCAAATGCATAAATCTGCATGTGGTTATTTTGTGTTTTCTTAAAACCTTCTGAAAAAGCATATTTAGATGTCATACAATCTCCATCTAATGTTCCGAATTGACAACAATATTTATGTTTTTGTCAAATTAAGACAAAAATTTCAAAAATGTTTTGAAATTTCACATCAATGTCACATCAGCACCTAAGTCTACAGTTTCCAATGACATCTTACCCTTTAGTTTATAATATTGATTACTTGATTTTGGTCCATGTTGACATGATGGCATCTTACAGGGTTGCTAGTTTATCAGGTTTGCATCCATTATGTTGGATTAGGGTGAGAATTTGATATTCTGCCTCCATCATGCCGTGTTTGTGCTGAACAGATTGTGCAGTTTAATCGGCTCCCTCTGGTCATCAGCTTCATCGCCAGCAGCAACGCCAACACAGGTAAATGCATTGTTACAGTCATTTTAAAAGGTGGATATCAGCCGAGCTAAGACGTGTTTCTGTGTCCTCAGGTCTCATCATGATTCTGGAGAAGGAGTTGGCTCCACTAATAGAGAATCTGAGGCAGGTGGTTGAGGTGACATGAGTTCAGATCGGCGGCACATTGCACCAAATTACTCCCAACTCATCATATTCCTGTTTGCTGAGATGTTCATGTTATGTTGGGGAGATTTCTGTACTTTCTCATTGTTTGTGGATCGGTTTAAATAAACGTGCTTTGTTAGCCAAGGTTTCATTCTTCTGTTCAGTTAAAGTCTGAATAAATGTTCAAATTTTGACAACTAAAATGGTGCTGTCTCTTTTTCTTATTTAGGTATTCAGAATTGAATATTTTATTTTATCTGCAGCCTTCCATGAACTCAAGCAATGTTGCAAAGAAGAGTGGGTCAGAATAACTGCAACAACCTGAGAGTCTGATGGAAACAGACTCTCAGATAATAAGCATTGAAAGCTTATTGGAGCCAGTGTTTCTACAAGCCGAGGCAGATTCAGGCCTGTGTCGACTGGTGATGTTTTTTTACATCCAGTATTTCCATTTTGGTATCATTTCAGCATAAAAATGGCAATTTATAAATGGAATGCATGTTTTGGTACACTTGCATTAAACCACTGCAAAAACTGGTCAAGCTAAATAATTTTGTCGGTCAAATATTTCATACTTGAATATTTCACAGTATGAGAACTGCAAATATTCAATTTACAGTTATGGAATATGTAAATATGCCATATTTACAGTTCTCATGCCTGCCTACCTACTGTACTGTATTTCACATTTATGTATGTAAGTACCATAATCTATTGTATCATATGTCATACAATTTTGTGTCATTGTCAGGTATGTCATACTTGGTTATGAAGCATTAATTTGACCAAACTTTGCCGTGTATGTATTCAGTCATTTCATACAGTTTTGATGTAATAACATAATTCTAGCCTAAATTTCAACATTCCTTCAAACCCTAATTATTAACCCTTCTCTGAACCCTCCATCTAACTCTAATTCCAACTCTCTTTAAACCCTAATTTCTCAAATCTAACCCTATCGCCAATTCTCTTTCGACTTACACATTGTTGAGACACAACTTGAATAAGAGAACATTGATATGGCGATGTGGCAAGATCCTTAATTTGATCCATGTTGTACTTTAGGAGATCAGTTGTCCAGAAGATTAGTACCAAGTAAGGCTGGGAGGAGGAGGAAGATGATGATGTCAGGGCTCAGTGGTGTCATCAAGTATGTCATGCCATACTTTAGCATGTGTCATGTCTCATTGGGTTTCACAAAGCTGCTGTTTACCCAGTGATTCAATAAAACACTCACTTCTAGGGATGCAGCGCTTGTACTGTTTCTTTCTGGTTTCGGATTCATATTCAGAAAAGAGAATACTGAAAGAAACTTGCTGTAGTTGTTTAAAACTGTAGATTCATAATTTTTAATGAGGAAATGAGACAGATTTCCACACTATTGAATTTTCCTAATTTATATTGACAGATAAATTAGTGAATATGCTGCACACTGGGAAAGATATAAGCTGGACTTTGAATTAAAGGAGAGCACATATAACTGAAAGTCAGGAATTTAAACCTTCAACGGAGGTTTGTTTTAAAAATAATAATAAAGTGAAGATTTTATAGTTATACGACAAACAGTTTAAGTATGAGTTTTTATTTAATCTATCAGAGCATTTCAGCCTGTTTTATTTGCTCTTGAGATGAACCAATAATTACAATAATTACATACACAAACATGTAATATAAAGCATTCTGACTGAGTGATCAGAACTGGTTCTGACTGCAATACTCTGCTTCAAACACCTGTTATTCTGCTTCTACCCTCATTCCCATGTTGAGTCTACAAAAGCTACAGGTCAACCAAAACAGTCAAATACAGCCAAAACGATTCTGTTCTTCTGTGTGTCCATCAAAACTACTCTGATATGTCTTAAGTTCTCAGCTAACATTGTTTTGAAATTGCACATTTTAACAAAAGAATAATTTTTTTTATGTACATAAAACATAATTATGTGAATTTTGAAGTTTTTTTTTTTTTCTCCAGTCAGAACGCTGCTGTTCATTATACACTTTTTGTCCAGGAATTCTACAGAACTGTCAAAATCCTTCAATAGGTTGTTCAAAGACCTCTTGTAAGATGTGTTGTGCAACAGATTCCAGATCTGCCTCATTCCTTCAGGTATCCTGGTATCTTCTGTGAGAATAATGTTATTTTCCTGTTTCTCCATGGATGACCATCATCGCCCTTTTCTTATCTGAGACTGAAAGCAAAAGCAAAGATTACGAAAGCTGATTTGACAACATTGGATTCAGAAATGGTGATGGTTCCGAAAAAAAGCCACACGTTGGTTTTCGTTTTTTTTTTTTTTTTTGTCTTTTTTCAGCAATGGTTGCAAATTTCCTTTTTAGTGGTTGTGAAACAGAAGAGATGAGGAGCAGCAAGAAAGGAAATTTTATTACAGTAATAAGGAAGTAGATTTATGGTGCATAAGCTTAAATGTTTCAGACCCAAAAACATTGTGTTGTAATAATCAACTTTCCCTCAGCTGCTCAATCCATGCAATTTCCTCTGTTGGATAAAACTCTGGTAAACATTGAATCCTTTCCGGTGCCAATGAGAGGCTTAGGTATTACAGGTTTCATTTAGCCTCCTTTTTTAAATGAACCTTTTGTGAATTAGAAATGCAAGGAATTGAATTTCTAATTTTCTTCTTTTTCCCAGAAGTTTGAAGTTTTGGTAGTAAAAACAGATGAATGATGCCCAGATTATATTTCTTTTCCTACTGACTGTACCACAGATTAAATAATCCATATGAGTCAGTCTGATGGAACTCACCAGCTTCCACTGGAGGATCTTAATCCATTCATCTGCCTCAACTCCTGTCTTTGCGCAGAAGTAAAAAGTCCGATCGGGAAAAACAAGACTGTGGACACACAGAGACATGAAAAGTTACTTTAAGCAAACATAGTAGTTTTAAATCATGTTGAATATGTCTGTTGAAAACTAAAAACCAATGTTAAATAAAATACTTATAGTCAGTCAACTGCAGTTTGTTTCCAGTTTATTTCTGAAATCTGTTAAACATTTCTGCTCTGTTGTCCTCACCTCGCTCTTATTTTGTTTATTGGGGACTTTATTTTGTCTTCCTCTTTCAATTGTCAGTTTTTTGTGTATTTTACCAGCTTCCTCTTTAAGTTTCAGCATTGTTTTAAGTAACTTTTTTCCCCAACATATTTCTCAAATTTGTTAACTCTTAAGGTTTTCATTTCTCTTGTTCTTATATTTCAATTTACAGAATTAAAGCAAGAAAATTATTTTCGTGAGGTTAGACAAAAAAACAAATCCCTTCTTTCCTGTTAAGGCAGATGGGTTGAATGTGAAATTATTAAATAACTACCGACAGCTAGCAGTCAATGCAGTTTCCTCCATTGTTGCCTAAAACTTCCCTTTTTTTTGCACAAAAAATATCAATGTGTAAATAAAAAAAGTCAGTGGGGGAAGTTCAACTCAGAACTGAGAGGAAGGTTTTGTTTATATCTGTAGGTGTTTTGGAGGGGTTCAAACCACTGCAAAATAATATATTTTTTTTTTGCTTAACATTTGTTGTGTCAGAAAATGTAGCATAGCTAAGGAGACAGAAGTGGTAACAGTAAGACAAAGTGAAGCTTGTCTACTGACAGCACAAATCTTTTATGTCTATTTCTATATTTTGGAGATTATAAACAAAATCTAAAAAAAAAAATCTACTCTTGGTTTTCAAAGGTCTCATGTTTTGACATAGAAACACATTTGCACATTCATTCTTGACATTAACAGAAGCATACCGTTTTTATTATGCCCCACAGAGCCGTTTGGAAATGTTTAAAATCTTTTCTGAATGTGAAGATGTTCCACATTGTTCTGTTCCTAGTCCAATTTCTTTTTTAACTTTACATATGGTTTATATTATTGGAAGACATACTGTACAACGCAGCTTGCAGCGGTGAGCCAAACTTAGATAATAAATTTCACTATCTGATATGAAGCAGCTGCAATATTTTCTGTTTCAATTCAAATCATTTATCTTTGCTAAGTCCCACGAAAATGGACAAAACAAACAAACAAAAAAAAAACACCTTTTGGACAGTTTTTCTCTTTCAGACTCAAAAGTTCTAAAGCTTTTTTTTTGTATTTGGCAGAATTGCCTTCTAAACCTCTTGACTTGGGTGAAACATTGTGGATATCCTCACAACATTGACTCTGTTACGATGAAACAACTTTGTAACAAACGTGGTGGTATATTTATTGCTTTGTGAACTTAGAACCCTAATCTGGATGGGGGAAATTAGCATCTAGGGATGTTACTTTAATGCCTTAACATAGTTTTCTTTCCTTTTGATGTAATTTATTTTTGGAAGTACATCAGTCCCTCCAGCAGCAAAACACTTCCTCAGATAATACTGTATTTGAAAATTAGCTTAGAAGCTTTAGTTTTTTTTTTCTTCTCCAAATTAGTGTAAGTGGGTGCCGATACAGTCTAACTTTTTGCATTGCCTCTTGAGTAAAGGCTTCTTCATCTCTGACTGGCCTCTAAGTTCATGTTGGTAAATTACTTGTTTTGTTGTTGTTAATGACACCACATAACCTGCTTTAGCCAGGATTTTCCTTTGCCAGGAATGAGATACTATTTTTACACCAGGACATCTTCATCTCCAGGACAGAGAACCTGTCACATGGTGACTGTATTTGTACATTATTGCTTAAATGCACTAACATGGCACCTTCAGCATCTGGAAATTGTGTCCAAGGATGAACTATGCTTATCAAAGCTAACAGTTCTCTTCCTGATATCTTGTTGGATTTCTTTAGATATTTTCCACAATATCACACAAACATGCATTGTGTTTGAGACTGTTATATTAACATAGAGTGAAGACACAAAAGGTGTGTCTTTATTTAATTCATCTGTGATTGAATCATTAAAGGTCTTGACATAATGAGGGCTTTTCCCAGAACCAAAAAGGTTGACGAGTTGTGAAAAACACTGAAATCTTGTGTTTGAGCCTATTCTGCTATTTTCCATTCATTAATGACAAATGCTCCTCAAGTAAAAGATTCATACCAACACAGTATGTTACGTACCAGAAACAGTTGACTTTGTCCTGAGAATAGTCAAACTGGACTGCAGAGCAAGAAGTTAAATCCAGCGTCCGAATGGGCTCCTCACACTA